AAAAGTAGTACACCTGTGCTATGCACACCTTTGCGCTAGAAACACCATCTCATTGGAGTTTAAAAAATAAGGAAAAAGGAAGACACTCTGTTATATAAGTGGGCTGGAACACAGCGTCATGTATGACATGCTTTTTCCTCATGTGTCTTTATTCTGCACCATTAACATGGCACTCAGTGGAGACACATTGAGGCTAATCACAAGTCGCTGATTCAAAGATGCCGAGGCTCCAAAAGCCAAGTGGGATCACATCGGTGATGTTGCTGCACTTACAAGAGTCAGTGCAGCTTACATCACTCAGCTTAGGCAAAGAAGATAAAGATTAGACAACGTGCAGCGCCAGCAGAAAACATAGCTCCATGCAAACAAAAGGAAAGTGGGAGCACTTCCTCAAAACTGCCTTTTTCCATCTTTTTCAGGGTTACGGAAGGCGATTGCGAAGTGGCCCTCAGCAATGGACACACTGCAAGTGCACTCTGAAACTCAAACACGCTCCGTCTCCGTTCTCTGGCACACATTTATCAAGTGCTGCTAATGTTACAGTAATGTGAACAAGACCGAAATGCTTCAGAATCCGGTTTTGGTAGGAACAGCGTAGTATCGTTCAACTAACAATTCATAAGTGTAAAGGTACGAAGGGAAATATCAGATGCAGCTACTGTAAGGCAGCGTTCTGTTCTTTGCTTTCAGAAAAGCTGAGATTCCTGCAGTCTCTCCCAGACTGAATGGCATCAGTTTGTTTTTTTTCTGCGTTGAAATGAGGCCACAATCATCCCATTCGACCTCTTGTCAGGGACACTCTTTTGTACGTTCCACCTCAGAGGTGTCGGCCTGTGTGGGCAGCTACTGAATCATCTTCTCTGCCTACTTCAAGATAATTATCCTCCTGGAAATAATTACTCGACGAGCGCGTGGCCGTGGAAGATGCGGCGGTCAGCAGCAGCATTTCTGGTCTTAAGATATTCTGAGAAAATACTCCTCCACATCGTCTCACTGCCCCTGCCTTCATTTTTTACTTCATTTTGAAGGACTGCAAGTTCTGACCTTGCCGTCAGCAGCAACAGAGACTACTATTGGATCTTTAAGAACAAGCTGAATTCTTATTTCTTTTCTCCCCAATACTGTTTGTGTTCCTGCTGCACCCTCACCTTGTTACAGGCAGGAGTGAAATCTGTTGGGCTCAGTCAAATAGTTTCTCCCACGATGCTTATACTTCGTGTGGACGGCTGCCGCACTGACCGGTCTCCTCCTCAGACATCAACAATGTGTTTCAGCCCCCCCGAGGATCACAGGCGGCTCGGCGGGCACGCAGGACGAGGAAATGACCTCTCTTTGCGCCTTCTCCGCTTTGTCACCCAACCTCGCTCCACTATTATGAACTCTCTGAGGAATGTCTGGCACAGTGAGGTGCTGTGGAGCAAAGTTGGGGGGGAAAAACACCAACTGTCAAAGAGTCTTCATTGAATTAGAGTTTTGACATCCTGTAACAACATGGCACGCATATGATTTCTAGCTGAAGTGCTTAGAGAGAGAGAGAGAGGAACCAGGGAGAGTTGAGTCCCTCCATCACTGAAGCTCTCTGCTATTCTTTCCCTCCCTGATTTACTCCATCTAATCCTCTCTTTCACTCCGGACGTCTCTTTGTCCTCTCTCCCTCTCCACCCCTAAACGAACACTGCGATTCCTTTTGCGTCTGTCCTCATTTGATTCATCCATCAGTCTTTCTTTATCTCCCTCCCTCCCTTCCATCTAAACTCACCCATGTTTTTGTCTTTTTTTTTTTTTCTCCCGCTACTCTTGAACTGTTCCTAATGCACTTTGTTTCACTTTCTTGCTCTCTCTCTGCGCCGCACAGCACCAGCTATCTGTCTCTGTCACTTCCTACTCAAAGCCGTACACCAGTGCGCATTCATCAGCGCTGGGCTCCTTTAAGCACAATCGCTCACACACATTGTGGTCAGCTGCAGGGAGCTAAACGTATGAATGCACATTGTGCTTTGTAAAAAGAAAAATACTGTAGTACGGTAGGATGTGTGTGTGCGGCACCCTGTGCTAATACAGCCCATTGACTTGTCTGTCAGACCTTATGAAACCCTGACCGCTCAACCTGTTACACTGGCTGCTGCTTCACTCACTGATTCGATGTGTGTGAGCGCGAGAGAGGCTGTGTGAGGCATGTGAATTTATGTGTGCTCATTAAAGTCTATGGAGCTGTGTGCATGTATGCATGTTGACATATATATATATATATATTGTATAATAAGTACACATGTATATGGATTTGTGTGTGAGAGAGATTGTGTTTTCTTATTCCTGACTGTTTTCTCCCGGTCAAGGGTTGTGTATCTCTCTCTCTCTCTCTCTCTCTCTCTCTCTCACACTCACTCACTCTCTCTCTCTCTCTCTCACTCTCTCACTCACTCACTCACTCACTCACTCACTCACTCACTCACACACACACACACACTGTCAGAGTTTTGGCTTAGTTGGTTTTGTGTTTGTATATGTTCCAGTATGTATGTTTGTGTGTGTGTGGCTCATACAGTTTAGTGTGTGTGTGGGATCCCTCTAATGAGTCTCTCTGGTGAAACCTGTGGGGAGCTACAGATGCCATAAATGGGATTAATCTCTCTCTGCAGAGGAAACTCTGCTGAGTGTCTCTGAATATTTTTACACGGATGTTTTACAAGGTTGCAGCAAATATTATTACATGTGGGCGTGTGCGCGCGTCGCTCCAGAACTGTCTCTCATGTCCTCCTGAGAAGAGTTTTCTTTACAACAAGCTTAATTATGCCAGCTATGGGCTTAATGAGGCTGACGAGCTCCGAGCAGGTGTTGCCTGTGTATTATGCATCATGGATTCTACGTTATAACGGCATCTCCATCAACGTTTCTTTGAGGTTGTTGTGCGTTTTTAGTTTAGTTGCCAAATTCTAATTACTGCAGTTTTAGCTTAGGGGCCATCATTGTGTCCGCAATCCAGCCCTCTCGCTTCCTCTGCCCGTTTGATCGTCTTGACATTTACGCTCGCCAAATGTTGGAAACGAACGCAACGCCGAAGGCACTGGGCTGGTTTAACAGTTAGACTAAACATGCATTTTTCTGTTAGAAGACTGGTGTGAAGGAATTAGTTGAGATCGTTCACTTCCTCCCGGTTTGTTCACTTCAGTCTGATTCTAGAGAGAGAGGGAGGGAAGGAAGCACAAAACTGTCCGTCCAACTAATGGTTTTAGATGTGTACAGATGTAGGTGGTGCTGTTGCCGTTTCTTGGGTTGCTCACATCTGCGCCTCCTGGGTAAATTAGACTTCCTGTTGTGCAGCTTGTGTTTTGGAGATTTGATTGCTTGCAGCCCTCTAATTTCATTCTAACATTTGGATGTTATTTTCCTCGCTCAAAACGTCTTCTATTTGGTATTATGGCGACTGATTATAGGAATAATCAGCGCTGTGGCTGGATCTGATCTGAGCTGCTCTGATTGGTTAAATTGGTGAAAAAGTTTGGAACGCCATTCCGACTGCTTCGCTTGAATCGTCTGTGTAATCGCCCAGTCTCAAAATTATAATGGTAATAATGATACGTTTTATTTATGAAGCTTTTTACAAGGCAATTGCACTCTGCGTGCAGCTCCCAGTGGGCAAAATTAAACTTGAGCTGAGACGAGCCAAAGTGGAGTTTCGAAGGATGAGTATGGAAAGCGCTGGCGTTGGTCTACCTACTTGCTAATTTCCCCTCCTAATTACCATGTTTTACCCTGAATGTCATGTTCAACTTCCCACAGAAAAGCATAGATCAGCACATTCAGGGTGATCCTATCTTAGCAAGGCAAAGTAATCGCACTAGCTGGTTATATAGTGAGTTTTTATTTATTTAGTTTTCTGAAGTTACTGTCATACACAGGTCATCAGATCTCTGTGTGGGGGTAACCATGACTGTAACAGCCATAATTAAAAGTTCAAACGGATACCAAAATCTAAATGGAAATGTCCAGTCGTCGGTACATGAACGTGTGTAATTAAAACCAAAAGGAATAATGCCTGAAGAGGTGACTAGATACTGGATTATGTGTTATCGCCTCTTAAATGAAGAATAAGTAATAAAACGGGTTTAAAAAACATTGTATTGCATTTTAAATGGTACATTTGCACACCGCAGTGCCGATTAAAATAAGAACATTTCTTTTCCAAAAAGAGAAAAAACGGTAAGTCCGGGATTGAGAGTCGTCAAAACTGACAACCAAAATAAACGCATTGACGTTGGGGATGCGTTCAGTGTGAGCATTTTGCATTTGCAGATGTGAGCATGAAATTTCACCTCGTGTGCTCTGATCCACATTTATATCTTCATATGTTAGCGCATTCTTTCAGCTCCCTGTGATTCTGTTTCTTCATGTTAACCGGATGCGACGGCAACGCGGGTGGTGTTTTCACCTTGTGAGTGAGTCATCACGGCAAGATGGGGTCTCACTTTACGCCCCAAGCCCCATTGTGGCGCCGCGGCTGGTGTGATACATGTATAATCATTACAGTATAGCCCTATGTCTGTTGACGCGTGCGTGTCAGGCCCAGTCTTTAGAGGACGTGTCCTCGTCCCTGCAGCAGCAACACCGACGAGACAAACTCCTGAACATTTATTGTACCTGACACCGATTGTGATTCTGATTGTGAAAATTGGCTTTTATGAGGATGAGTTTTCAATAAATCCCGTTTGATTGATGATCTAATTATTGCAGTGCAGGGAAATGATGAGAAATGCCCTTTTCCCTCCATACAAATAAAACACAAAGCTTATTTTTTTTTCCACCTCATTTTTATGTAGTCCTATTTGCATGGAGACAAGACAGGTTTTTTTTTTGTTCTTTCGGTTTCACGGCTCATTAAGATGAGTGAGTGCTCCTTCTTGAGTGTTTACACAGCTAACATCATTACTTAGATAATTCAGAGCTGTAAAACTGCTTTCTGCTCATGTTGTTTTCATTATTTTGTCCTTTTTCTGTTGCAGGTGGGATACGAGAACGCGGGGACCGTGGAGTTCCTGGTCGACAGAAACAACAAACACTTCTTCATTGAAGTCAACTCTCGCCTCCAGGTCGAGCACACGGTCACCGAAGAAATCACCGAGTAAGTAGCAGATGTTTACAAGCGCGGGTGGCAGGTGGGCAGCTGGAATGGTCGCGGCGCTTGTCACTTTGCGTGCGTTTGTTTGGTGTCGTCTGTCCACAGACAGGTGCTGCAGCGTCGAGGTGTTTTAGACGCCTCCCACTCTGAAAAGTTGCTGAAATGGAAAGAGTGAAGGTCGGAGGTGTAGAGGTGTGGGCACAGTTGAGAAGATGAGGGGGGGGGGAAGAGAGCCAGAACAGGTGGGATCAGTGAAGAGAAAAGCAGAGCGATGAGGTCCGAGAGAGGGCGAGAGACGATGGCAGTGAAGCAGAGAGAGAGAATAGTGAACGATATAAATAGCATCTCACTTCGCTGATGACCTGTGAGATTTGCTCGGCTGAAACCACACAGATGGGTCTCAAACTAATACACACACTCTAGATATAAACACACACAGGTACAAGTATAAAGGCCCTCCAGACACACCAGAAAGCTACCATTACGCTAATTCATATTGGATTCCCTGCATAATTAGCCCAATTAATGAATTAAGCTGACAGACTAACAAATCAGTGCAACTAATAGGAAGTTATAGGTGGGGGGGAATGATGGCACCTGTTCCTATGGCAACCAAACATGACTGACAATTTTGTGAGCCGCACTCGCTCGCCGTCTCAATCAGTCTGTTGTTTTGCTTCTTTCATCTCTTCCGTCTCTCCGTCTCTGTGCGAGAGTGAAAACAAAACAAAGAAGCGCTTCATTCATCTCGCTGTATTTGTGTCGCATCACGGTGAACTACATCAGTTAAACAGTGACGTCCCGGCGATCATTAAGTCAAACAACCACCGCTTGCAACAAAAAAAAGTCAATTTAGTTTCCCCAAACCGTTAATTTGTGTTATTTTGATTAAAGTGGTGTCCACTTTTTAAGTATATCCTGTCAGTTAAGGTCTTAAATCTTCACGGTTTCCTTTAAAAATGTGGCTAATGTGATAATAAAGATCCGAAAGACAAATGTGACGGCAATAAAATGTGTCATTAATATAATTTAGGTCTTTTATTTCTTTCTTTATTCTTTGTAGGGCTGCAGTTTTTTTGATTTTTATAGGAGTATGTACACCTGCCATATGTTCTTCATTCGAGTTTAAAAAGTTGTGCCTTCACACACTTGCTCCATACTTGGTCTTGACACAGAGGTGGCAGATAAGGAAACAAGTTATTATCCCAATTGTTGGTGGAGTAAAGCCCCTCGTGTGTGTGCGTGTGTGTGTGTGTGTGGGTGTGGGTGTGTGTGTGTGGGTGTGTGGAGTTTACTTGTACTTTCAGTGCTTCTCATAAACATTGGGGCCTAACAAAATTTCCATTTTCTTCCTCAAAGCATCTCTGCAATAAATATCAGACATAAAAAAGATGGAAGTGTTTTTTTATATATACTGTATATTTGCTTTATGGAGTATCATTAAAGCAAATCAAGACTCGTGTATCCAGCCACGATTGGTGCTTTGTATGGTGGATATAAACGTATCGTTCTTATCATTTAGCTTTACTTTATACATCACTAGATGTTATCTCTCTTTTTAATCCATTCAAAGTTTTTTTTTCTAAATCTATTTATATTTTTCCAGCATGATTTTTGTGTCTTTAATTCTCCGTTTCTTTACTCTTATCTCGCTCTATGAAACATTAAAATGTGCTTAGCTCTACTGTGGGTTTTTTATTTTTTGGGGGAAGCAATAATGTCGGAGGAGAATGTGATATTTAACTATCATAAATCATGTATTTCATGTCCACAGAGCAGATAATCTCAAATGTAAACCTCCCAGAATTGCCCTTCTTTTCTATCACCGTTATCAAATGCGTTGTCATATTTAATACATTTAAAAATGGAAAAAGGGCTGAAATGGAGGATAAATGGAGGATAAAGGACGCCGAAGAACTCGGGCAATATCGCGCTGTAACGTTTTCATCTTGCGACTCACCAAGAATGTCACACTTGATTATCTGTGAGGAGGAAATGAGATGGGAAGTATCTTGACTTTGCACCTCCGCCTACTCCTTCATGCGCCTTTCCTTCATAGTGAACCAGCTCTGGTACCTCCAAGGACACACTCAGGGACGCGCTTGCCTCCCTGTGCTCCCGTGAGTGAGACAATAAGTTGATAGAAAGTCTTCGCTACAGTCACACTCTTGTCACATCCTCTTTGTCCTGAGGAAATCTGACATTTCTGGTGGGAATTTGGGTCATTTGAAAGTGGCAGGAGTGCAGTAATTACTCTAATTTGGGCGCACGTCGAAAGTTTCGGCTGTGACGAGCAACACTTTCAATTTGCGCAGCTTTCACTTCAGGCCCGAGCTCTAAAGAGAACAAGTCTTTCCAGCGGAAACTCAACATGCATCAGTCTAAATGGAAGGGGATGTGTACGGCGACAAGTATTCCATTCTAGTGCAAATGACTGTATTGTGGTTTTATTTGAACGTTCGAACCATTAGTCTCTCAGCTTTTCCGTTTCACGCGGCTGCACTCCCAATCTCTGAGGTGTGAGGACATTCATTCTTGTTTGTTGGGGGTTTGAAACCGACCGTGTTACTAATGGACTTGTCAGCGAGGTGTTTTTTTCATACCGAGCCGTTCATTCCCCGACTCTCCAACCCTCACCGTCTATCATCACTTTTCATCTCTCCTGCCTAATTCCTTCCTCAGCAATCATTCCTGGTTCGATTTATGCTCGCCTCCTCAACTCTGGCTGCAGTTGAGCTGCGGCTGCTTTTTGTATTTTATCCTCATTCTATCTCCATCGCTTTTTCCTCCTCCTCCCCTTGTGCCGCATACATCCGAATGAAATGTTTTTTGCATGCATCTCCACTGGCGGCCATGACAGGAAGCCTACCTTTAGCGTTTGTCTGAGTAACTGGATTCAAAACACCCGTGAATCTGTCCGAGACCGTTTCATTATCAGTTAAAAAGTTCCTTCTGGTCACTTTAATACCAGGTTTAAACGCAAAGGGCTGTGATCAAATGAAATTATCCGGATACAGATCGCATGTTAGCGCCACCTGTCAATGGGCACTTAGCCTTGTTTTCCCCTCAATTAGATGCTCTCTGGAACAGATTCCCCTCACTTTGATGTTGGGGGGGGGGGGGGGGGGGGGGGGGGGTGTGTGCTTGATATGCAGTTTGAACTAACTGTCACGAGGCGCTGTCTGTGGTGAGGGGTCAATGTAACACTTGCTCATATATCAAAGTCCCCTCTCTCTCTCTCTCCTTAATCCATCCCTTCTTCCATCTCGTCCTTCATTTCTCCCTCAGGTTCTCCCCTTCATCTGTCTGTCCTCAGCTGACTTACTGCATCCGTCTCGACACCTCTGTCCTCCCCCCCACGTGCTCTCTCTCGCACCATTGCCTCCTGTTCTGGCTCTCTCTCCCGTCCTTTCAGCCCCGTCAGTTTCTCCGTCTCTGTGTCGACCGCTCACTCCGTCACTCCCATCACTCCGCCTGGGTCTCTTTCCTCCATCCGTCTCATCTTTGTCATCTATTCCTCTCGTTCACATTCATCCCCCCCCCCGTCGATTGATTCATCTCTCCTTCTCTGTGTCCTCTACCTCACCTTTGCCTCGTCCACTCTTCATCTTTCCTTTGTCCCTTTATGAGCTTGCCCTTCTTAGCACTCGCTCCCTCCACCTGCCCTCTCTCCACCTGCTGTCTCGTCACTCTCCGCCTCCGTCTGTCCCTCTTGCGCCATCCTTTCATGCGTTTGTACAGGTGAAAGGCACTTGCTTTGATTAGAGAATGGAGTCTCACTACTTGTGTGTCTTAAAGTTGCAGTTCGATAAACATCTGATGGCGCCGGTATTGCATAATGTCTTGTTGGTATTAAACAGTAGAATGTGTTTTCTTGTACACCAGAGAACATTACTATAAAGACTATTATGTTGTACATACTCTAGCCAATTAGTGTGCATTGCAAAATGTGGGCTGCAGCCCCACATTTCCCTCCTGTGTATGATTATGAGACACTGAGATCAGAGCCGACGGCTGTACCTTCATATCGACTCAGGTATGAGACAGATATGAATCTGTGGTAATGTTGCCGATACCGTTGTAGTCGAGCTCTGACTCCAAAACACAAACTGCCTTTTGTCTCAACTTAACACCTTAAACTTTACACCAAACCATCTTAACATAAACATTTATTTTTCCTTATGTCCTCCCACCTTTCCTCCTCATCCTCTCCCCTGCCACTGTCCATCACCCTCTCCCTCCTCCTCCTTCTTCACTGGTACTGTTTCTTCTCCCTCCACCTTCTCTCAATATTGCTTTGACGTGGTAAATGGGTGCATATTCAAGTGTCGGTGAGGAGGCGGAATAGCACAATCTATAATCAGAATGGATGCTCCCACACACATACACACACACACACACACACACACACACACACTCTTATTCACAGAGGCATACATAAAATACGTCCCCAAACATTTGATGTCCAAAGGTCTCAACGTAGACACAAACACAGTTGCTTAAGGACAAAAAACATTATTCGAATACCTTTTCATCGCTCTTCCTGCCTCACAGAATTCCTGCACAATAGAGGCAATTCTGTCTGACTGGATGTATAAGCAACTGACGCATTGTGAAATACATGTAAAAGATATATTTTGTCTGGGAGGCACACC